CCTGTCGGCAGAGCTCTGCCTTCTTGATGTGGGTGTGGAGTGTTCGCGGGACCGACAGGACTTTGGGTTTTGCGAGTTGGGAAAGTCCAAATGCAGATGTGGGAACGCCACAGTCTGGGTCGTGTACCAGTGTACCACATCCATCCTACTCGAGCACCCAAGAATAGTGGGCCTTTCGAACGCTCCCTGACCAGGGCAAGATGCCTCATGCATCCCTGCTTCCTACTGCTTAGAGGTTGCTATCTCCACCATTTACCGGCCTTCGCCGCAGAACTCAGCCCCTTGGAACGTGAGGAAGCAGGTTGCAGATTGGATTGTTGAGAGTTGCTCTCACAGGCTGGTGCTACGGGCGCATGTTACGATTTGCGGATTCCTTGCCCGAACTGCCTAACCGAAACACCTCCGAGGCCAACACCGCTCAGGGCCTTGCTGCACTTCTTCTTCTGGATACGGCTTCAGCAGATGCGACCAGCGCAGCTGCGACGATGTGGCATGGTTTGCAGGGCTGAGTCAGACTTGTGAATTTTGGGAGCGTGTCCGCCTGAAACAGCGTAGAGCTATGGAGTAGTCGATGTCTGTGGGGCAGTACAAGAGACAGGTGCTGTCAAAACTATGGAAGAGCTGGAGGCTCCTCAGGTCTGAGGATGGCTCACGAATTCTCTCATGAATCCATCGAAGCATCGAAGATTATGAGAACTTTTGGGCTTTGGAGGCGGTCATCTAGATTGCAGCTGGATACGAAGAGGTGGAGCATGAGGGGAAAGCAGCAAAGCAGCGTTCAGGGCTTTGTGCTACACGGAGACAATGGGCCTCTCGTTCTCCGCACCGTGAACCTGAGGCATCTTTGTCCTGCCGCTGCCATGCTCGACGGCATGAACGACCTCTCTGTCAGCTTGACAGGGATGATTTGGGCTTTCCACTTTGCAGCTTGGTCAGCAGTCAGTTGCAGCTTGTAGCACGTTGCAGCTGTTCAACCCGGCCAGAAACATGCCATTGAAAGGAGGGTTTGAACCGCTGGTCGTCGACCGAAACTTGCAGCATGAGGCAAAGGTCCGCTCGGCGATGAGAATTCGTTTTCGATAGAACCTACGCCTCACAAGCCACCGGACACTATGGGGATCGGAATAGGCATTAATGGTACGATTCAACTTCAATAATAATGCAAAGATAGGCCCCAAACCCTATTCTAATTATTAAGGCCCCTAGAATAAGGTGGACCTTCTGGACGAAAAATTCTACTGCTCCGCGGCTGCAAGGAAGCAGCATTTTTAAGTCATATAGAACAACCCTGAGACTGCCACCGCAGCGGAGCCTACCTCTTTGAACACTCCACGACTCCCGGCCCCGAAGGGCCGCTTCAGGAGCCCTGTCACACCCGATATCTGTCACCATTCAAGAGTCTATTCACAGGGCCTTCAGCCTCAAGAAATCAACAAGGAGAGAGAGAGAGAGAGAGAGAGAGAGAGAGAGAGCCTCTCTCTTGCAGGCCGAGTGCGGTCCTTTCTCAGCGAGGCAGGAAGGAGTCTGGATGCGAGCCGCGCCGACTGGCGCCCGCCCCCTCGAGGAGGCCTTGGGAGGAGTTGGGGGGGGCTTTGGGGGCTTTCGAGCTGGCCTTGCGGCACTTTTGGACTCATAAGCGGTTAAATAATTAGGCCGAAGAACAGCATGTTGTGTAGGACAGCTGGCCCAGAAGAGAGGGAGAGAGAGAGAGAGAGGGAGAGAAAACAAACTCAGAGCCCCCAGAAGAAGAAGGAAAAAGGAAAGAAATAAGAAGAGTACATGTGCGCAGGAAGGAAGTACAATGGCATGGGCCACTGGGCTACTTTCCCTACAGGCGCCGCGCAGTAGCCTGGGGGGGTCACCCTCAGAGAACAAGGAGAAGAGAGTGCAGAAAAGCTGCTTTCAACGACTGGGAGTCCGGGGCTCGGGTGCCGAGCCTTGGGTTGAGAAGCTTTGGAGTTTGCTAGCAGAAGAGCAGAGGAGCTTCGACCCCGAGTCTTGGTTCTAAGTTACCGCTTGCTGACACGCCTTACCATTCATTCTAGCATCAAATTCTCATCCCTCTCATGTTCCGCGCCCCCCCCCCCCCGGGCCTAAAGACCATTTCTGGCTGTGGCCACGCCTTGCCTCCTCATCGAGAATGGTGTTAACAAGCATGTCAGGCAACGGTGTGCCGAAGATCGTCCTGGACCTGCCAGACCGCCACCCGGCTCGCGTACCGAGTTTGGAGTGCTGTCGATACCAAAAAATCATTGCTTCCCCTCGCCCCAGCATCAGAACTTCTCAAACTGTTATTGAGTCGAGTCTTGAGTCTGCTAGTGCTAGCTATGTTCCGCTATGTTCCGCTTGAAAGGGAGATGCCCACCATGTTGTGGAAGACAGAGGAGGCAAATTGAGGAGCAAGGCAGCGCTTTAGGGAACTGTTGCTTGAGGGACCCAAAGAGGAGGCTTGGGGTCGCTTTAATTTAAGGAGCTGAGGGCCACCTGAGACCTGAGAAGTTAGATTCCATCCCGTCGTTTCTTGTGTTAATCAACACCCGACCTCTCTGTGAGAATATCAATATCCAAAGTTTGCACCCGCCGCGGCAATTGGCGCTCGAGGCTTCGTTCTCTCGAAGCCTCCTGGCTGGGAGGTGCAGCCCAATTCGGAGCTGTTTGGCATCTGGGTCTTTGTGGTTATGTGGCGTTTGCACATTGTAGGCTGCCAACTCTCAAACCAAATAATCTGTAAGTCCGCAAATAAACGCAACAGCAGATCTGCAGTCGTACAAGGCATGTACTCTAGCAGCCTTGGGCCGCTGCAATTAAACGTTTCGTTATATGCAGGTGGACACGACGGATGTCGGCAAGGCAAAGCATCTATCCGAGTTCGTGAAGGCAGGGCAATGTAGGGCACGCGCTCACCCCGGGCCCTAGGCTGAGGCTTTTGATTAGGACTAGTATACATAGTCGGCGTCTCTGTGCGTTCCTTTCATCTGTGTCCCAGTGCAAGGGAAGTACTGCCTCGAAAAGATCTCGATGTGTCGCGGCTGCGCACGCAGTTTGAATCAGCCACGTCGTCGCTTTCATCATTTCCGTGGGCGTTTCTTGTTTGTCTCGCCCGCATTGGATGTTGTGTGTGTATGTGTTGTGTGCACGTGTGTGCGCGTGCGTTACCGTTAATATTCATGCGTGAGAGAGGGTGAGAGAGAGAGGGGTTTCCCTTCATGCCCAGCAGAAGAAGAAGAGAAAGCGAGAGTGGGAGTGGGAGTGAGAGTGAGAGTGAAATGGTGCGAGTGAGAGTGAGAGAGAGAGTGCGCGCTTGTGAGCATGGGCGTGTGGGTGTGCATGTATATATGTATATATAACTTGTGTGAGTGTGTGAGGGAGAGAGACTGAATGTGTGCAAGTGTCTGATGTGTATGTGCATATGTGTGAGTGTGTGCGCGTGAAACCACGCATGCTGGGCATAGCCTAAAGACGTCCAGAATGAGACGGCTTCCTAAGAAATCAGACGAAGCAGCTTGTTTACAGGAGTTCACTCCACGCACGTGATCATCTATGACACGTGCTCCTTTCTAAAGAGACAACAACAATTGTACAACAGCAGCAAACCTATCACAACCGCAACACAACACCAGACGACCGCAACATACAGCAAACACAACTATGACCACAGCGCAGCAGCAGCAGCAACAACAACCACGACCACGACCACGACCACGATCACCACCACGACAAGAACCAGGCAGCCACAGCCATAACCACAACCACACCAACCAATAATGTCCGTGGAAGGACCTGGGTTGTCCCATCTTCCGCGACTTCGAGCATGGATTTGGACTGCCAAGCATTCCAGATCGAGTTGTGTCCCTGTGTAACGTAGCGGCACATGCAGATGCAGAGGAGTGCTTTTGGCTGGGTCTGTGAGGGGTCATTTGGGGGGCGTGTTGGAGTGGCATATCGTGACGTATCATAGCATCGAATAGGCCTGGGTGCCTCAAAATGAAAAGGACATTTTCTGGCCATTAGTTCCCTCAAAATTCGGATCCCCAGTCCTTTATGCTGTGAAAAGCCTCCAAGCAGCGTCGGCAGGACTTCTCCATCGCCTGGACACACCAAGCTCAGGGCTAATACTGCAGCGTGCTTGAACAAGGTAACCGGGGGAGAGGCAATTGCAATGTGACAGTGACAGTTCAATCACGCAGAGTTTCAGGAGGGATTGCCATGATGGGAGTCCGACCGTCTGCAAAGGGGGGTGGCAGCCTTCTCACAGCAACCATATGCATCCATGTTCGTTTGAATCAGAGCTTGAAGAGACTTGATCGACAAAGACAACGGCTCCTGGTACGCCCCATGGCTCCTAAACAAAGTGCCAAGGACAGCCAAGACCTTTGAGGCCTTCTACGATTTGAAGCTGCAGCTGAATACTGGTGCCATTACTCGAGCTCCTTGCCTCAATATCGGCAGGGTCACGAGACTCGGGAGATGTATGATTCGGTTAAGTCTGGTCTCTGGCTGCAGTCGGGATCTGAACCCATGCCTGCACCACAAAGCCAGCAGGACTACGTCGTTCTTTGCCACGGTATCTGGTCTGCATATCATGGTGGCGATGCCTTTCGCATCAACTTGCTGGCATTTCTGCGCTGCATAGTTCGTAAGATTCGCAAGGCTAGCCACGGTGGAACGCTGAGCTCACCCCATACAAGATCCAGAATGTCCACCGTGCCAATCGTACCTACCCTGCACTTGCACGCCATGTGGCACGCAGCTTTGTCGATTGTTCGGCCTCTACAACACATGCATGCGTAGTGGCATGCCACAGACCAACCGGCACACACACGCACACACCGAAAAACAAAATACTACCTTCCGAGCATTCCACATTGTCGGCCTGCGAGCCTGGAGGGGGCGTGCCGGGCACAGCTGCAAATATGCAACAACTGCATCCCCAGGGAACCTCAGCTTAGGGCGTCTCCATGTTTCCAACAACAGAACGCCGAACGGGGTAATCATCCGCCATGGCTCTTGCAGCCGCACCACCGCCGCTCCTGGTAACGGCTGGCCCCAAGCAGGCGGGCTGAAGAGGGCTTGAGTCTTAATTGGGGTTCTGCATTACTTGAGGGTGGCTTGGGAAGTGCAGCCCAAGCAGTGATAAACAGTTGCCTGCATGATCCCTAACTCAGGGAGGGGGCGACTTGCCAACTGGTCAAGTCGAACTTGCACAGCCTGATATTGCGAGGCTTCCGGATTCTGGAACAGGGGGGGGGGTTCGGATTGAGGCTGCTTGTGGCATGAAACTTCTTTTCTTGCGCTAGTTCACCTTGGGACGGCAACACAGATGTACAAAGCAGGAGGGTCACCAGCAGTTTCCAAGTTTTTTGCAACATTCCTTTCTTGGGGACAAAACTCGCGCTCAGCACAAGCACCATCAGCGAAAACAATCGGGCCGTGGAGCTTGGCCTGTTTTTCTGAAACCTCGGTTGGCACAGCCAGCATGCCTTCATGCCTTCGGCCGCCATTTGCCATCACGACAAGAACCTTTGCCAGTTGCCTCGGTTGCGAGAAGAAGTGGAGTTTCGATTGTCAGCATGCGCCTTTCTATCCCGTGCCCATGCTGTGTATTGCTGTGTATCACTGCGTATCGATTCCGGAGCCTTGTGTGAGGTGGCGCGTGGCTGGTCTTTCCCTGCACGCTCCACCCGGGCGGCCCAGGGATCAGAAGGAGCAGCAGCCCCCTGGTCTTTGAGGATTCGGGCTTCTTCTGTGGGCTGGTATGGATGTGCTGGGGGTTGGAGAGCTGGGCTATCTTCCGTCAGCTTCTGGCGTGAAGCTGAGAGAAGAAGAGCATAAACATGTTCGGGAGACAAAGGCCACCAGCGTTGCGGTCGTGGGCGCTGGCCCGGTGGGGCTTCTCACAGCTCTAGCTCTTGCTCGTCGCGGCTTCCGCAAGGTGAGGTGTTCTCACAGTCCAAGCGCCTCTAGCGAATTAGGAACTCTGAGACCCAGAAGCCAAGACAGCACCGAAGCCTGAAGAGCGGGTTTCAAGCATCACTTGCTTCCTGCACCCATCCAAAGCCCTCTAAAACCCACGGGTTCTGCCCCTTGCCAGAGAAAAGAGCAGCTTGCAGGTTCGGGTGCTCGATCGCTTGCCGGAGCCGCCCGCGCCAGATGCTTCGGCGACCCGGCGCGGTACATGCAACATCTAAATAACTTGTATGTGTCTGATCTTGGAATATGTTCATTCCTATGTTGTAGCATATTTTTCCTTGTACATCATTTTAACAACAGCATAGAAAAGTTATGTACTTGGGGTGGGAAGGTGGGTCTTCTGTGTCAGAGACTGACGTGAGTCAATCAGCTCGTTCTTGCACCTAGCCAAGATCATGACTGCATGTCCACATCTCCCTGGGTATGCTCTTGCTGATGGGAGGTTGCTGCCAAGTTGCTGAACTCCTTGTCCTGCTGCCTGAGTGTTCCTGCAAGCCACTGCCTCCGGTGGGCCTAAGTTCATGACCGTGTGCACAGAACGTCCAGTCGGGACGGGCCTACCCCGGATTGCTTGCGTCATGAGCACTCTGGCCTTCCATCTGGCGGGAGATCCCCGGAATGAGCAGCTTTGATATGAATGTAATTGCCACTTATTGTGAGAAGATGGCACATGGCCAACTTCGCAAAAGATAGAAAAAAAAACAGCGACCACTTTGGGTTCAAGTCCCTGGCATCAAAGGTATTCTTGAGCTGCCTAGATTTAGGTTGCCCCGATAATCGATATACATATATGCATAAAAACACATAGGTGTATATATGTATATGTACATATACATATTGATATTTTTTGCTTTTTGTTTGACCTCTTAACGCCTGAGGAGGATCACCCTGAGAATGTGAGGTATATGTTGAGCGGGGCGCATTTCGATCAAGGGCTCGCAACCCTGGAATTCTTTCGTGTTGAGATCTCGCACAGAGAGCCCAAGTCGCATGCGCGAGGTCTGGGGCGATCCGGACCGCTCCTACAACCTTGGGATAGGAGGTGGGGTTCTTGGGGACCTGGATTTGGAATTCTGTGTTGTCGAGGCAAGTCAGCCGTGGAGATGTTGCAGTAGGCTTTCGAACCGAGCAACCACCTGCATCATGGGAGACCCACGGCATCCCTTATCTGTGAGTCTTGGTGTCGCTATCACTATGTACCTGAAGAGTGGGACACCAACCTCGCCGCACCTTCCTGTAAGTGAAAGACAAAGGCTGTTGCTGTGCCTGCGCGAGCGAAGCCCCCTGCTTGAGTTTACTCGTTCAAGGAGAAACCTTGACCCAAAACTCTAAACCCTACAGTGGTAGGCCCTACAGCCCAGTGTCAGCTATAGGCGTGTTGCTATCTAGAAGCCTCTTAGAAGGCTGTGTGGAGTTTCGGTGAGGCCGCGGACAGCGGGCCTTGATCAAGTTCGGCGCTTTTGACCGCGTGGACAGGTGGAGCAAGACGGTGGTTGGCCGCAAGGATCTGGGTTGGAGCAGATTCTTGAGAGCCAGTAGTGGGTAACTCTATCAAGGTTTCGGGTTTTGACGGCCCTGGTCCGGGGTTTTTGGGAGAGCTTGGGCGGCATTCTCATATCAACAAGCAAGCAGCGCAAACACCCCCAGAGCCTCTCAAGGCTTCAGCCCATACAGACCACGAGTTGTCAGGACTGGTCCGGTGAAGGCGAGCCCAAAGTGACCATCAACAAGCGCCGGTTCCTCACGAAGCAAGGCTTCATCAAGGGCGTGGGATTCGTTGTGGAGCATCTTGTGCACCTTTACAAGCCCGCAGAACTCTTTTACTTCGCAATACCTTGCAGGTCTATCGGGGTTTGGACCTCAAGAAATTCTAGCCTCACCGTTTAAGGAAGGTCATTGCACGTGATCGCCTCTCAAGCTGCTTGTACGAGGACTCCTGGGTAGCCAAGTCCAGCTTGGGTTGCATTCGGGATTTGAAATTTTGATCCGGATTTGTTGTTGAAGTATTTGTGTGGGCGAGCTCCATTACATGACTTCCACAGGCACGTGGTAGGTCTGCTGAGGGCCAAGGAAAGACGCGATGTTCCTGCTTTGCACGCGAGTTTCTAAACCAACTACCACTACTTGAAGAGTTAGCTCTGACAAGATTTGCATGTGCCGGCCCTCGAAAGCCGGGAAGCACCACCCACCGGCGAGACGTTCAATCCATACTTCTGTTCTAAACGACCCAAACTGAGCAGGTATTCTCTCCTGAGTGGAAATATATGCCCAAGAATAGCCTTGGTTTAGAGACGACCCCATGTCGCGCGGCAGGAGCTTCGTGAGTCCTATCCTGATGTGGAGGTGCAATTCTCCACTGAATGCATCTTGGCTGCAGTCTTGTTCCCCACCTTCGGTGTGGGGTTGTTAGATTTTAAACTCAACTCTTCTCCTCGCCCAGAACTCTTCTCCTCGCCTGGTCTTCCAAGAGAGCCCAACCCCAGACAATCCCCAGAAACTGAAGTGTCCACCCCAGAGACTCCCTGGCGTGCCCAACCCCACAGACTCCCTGGAGTGCCCAACCCAGAGACCCTAGGAGTGCCCAACCCCAGAGACTTCCTCACCAGAGAGAGTCTCCCTGAGTGCCCAACCCCAGAGACCCTGGAGTGCTAAGGAGGGGATGTTCGAAGTGATTTTTTTTTCATCGCGCTGAAGCCTTATCCCTCCCCAACTCCTGCCCAATTCGATCCTGTTCTAAGAGCGCTGTTGTATTGTAGCGCGGCGCAGAGTCCAGCCACCTGCCTTTAAATTTTAGGAAAAGCCGACGCCCCTAACTCTTCCTGGCTCACGCTGTAGTACATGAAATGCCCGCAAAGCCACCTCGAGGGGCATGTCGTGTGCGATATGAACCCTAGAACCTCCTTGACCGCAGACCCCAAACAATACAAAAAGGTTTTGGGTGTTTGTATTTGGCTCCAATAGAACCTCGGAGTGCGAGTCCATATGGGTACCTCGCAGCAGGCACCGGCGTGGACTTCGCCCACCCGCGGCCGCGCCTCTCCCTGCGGAACTGCACCGCTCAAGAGGCGGAGGAGGGATGAACCTTGTCAACAAATTCAGTCCCAGGTCTGGTGCTCCGAGGAACTGTGAAGTAGCCCTGGTGTACAGATGGTAGAAATGGTAGAAAGGGATGAAAGATGGCTTGGGCTCACCAGGCCCGAAGCTGCGAAGAATCAAAGGACTGCAAGTGTACCCGAAACACCCAAAGAAACCAACTGCCCAACTCAGCAGTGTAAGACCTTAGGGTCCCCGGCAAACAAAGACTGCTTGTGAGGTGACGAAGAGGATGCCACCCAGGAAATGGAGGCTGGGAGCAAAGAAAGGCGTAGAAGGTCAATCGCGAAGCACATTGCGAGCCGGAGCTCGGAGCCTGTCGAAAACCAGGTACCCCCAGAACAATCTACGCTGAACAGCAGGAGCACCACCAAAAAAGGATTGAAGCCTCAGCTACGAAGGTGCACGAACCGCGCCAGGGTTCACAGAACGGAAGATGTGCTGAGGACTCTACTTGAAGTCTGCTACCAGTAGCCTTCTGGCAGAGGTTCGCCTAGAGAAGCGATATCTCTGACGGGTTCGGTTTTCACTGCTGCCCTGCAAGCGCAACTGCAGATCCTGAAGCCCTTGCCGATCCGCCATCATCGTTGGGCTCGAGCTAGTGAAGCTAGTGGCAGATGAGAGCTCTACGACAACTCGGCCATGCTTCCGTGTTCTACTATGCGGCCCAGGCCGGTGTACGTGAGCGTTGAGCGTGATACCCTCATGTGAGATGATTTCACCTTTGAGCTGTTACTGAAGGCACAGCCAGTCGGTACTCCATCCCTTTTCTGCGAGCCGGCTGGCCTAGAGTCTTCGACGCTTTTGGAAGCCGAAGCCTTGTTTTGAGCAGGGGCTTTCTCCTCGGGCTCCGCGGATCGGGTGGCACGAGGTGACCAAAAGCCCTTGGGATGACTAGCATGATTGAATGGTCCAGCCCAGGACAGTGCTCCTACTGATTTGTAGGGTGACATTGTGAACATGTCCAGATATGCCCAGGATTTGGTGCAGTGCCCACGATATGAGCATGGCGTCGATTGGGAGGCCTGGAGCACTGGCAGGTGGATGCTCAACGACGAGTTTGAAGCAACCGCCCTGCGCGGAGCAGCCGAAGATCTGCCTTTACCGAGCTTCCCCGACCCTAAGCTCCAAACCGTCTCAAACCCTGCAGCGTACAGTTCCAGGCCCTGATTTTTCGCAAGCAAACCCTGCAACACCAAGCTCTGTGATTTTCCGGATCACCGGGTGGACCGGGTCAACCCATCCGGCCTCATCAGCAGGTGTTCCTACTCAGCGCGTGCGAAAAATGCAAGCCCGATGAGCCTTGCGACCTCAACGACCGTGCAACTTGGCTTCATAGCAAGGAGATTGAAAGAGAATGGAGTTTTTGAGTCTTCATCTTATAGGAGAGTGGGTTCGATCGGGCCGAGCAACAAAAGGCTCACGTATCGGTGCCCTTGCTGTCGTTGCAGTCTGACACCAGTCGCCCATGTACACGCAAATATGCCAGTCGTAGTTAGGATTCCACAGACACGTGCCGGCATGCGAACAAGGCCCAAGCGAGTGCTGTCGGTGTTGCCGCCCCCTACGTTTCAGATTGTACTTTGGTGTGGTTGCTTGAGTGCAATTTTCCGCACTGACCCATCGTACTTGCGAGACACATTTGTCACTTTGCCACACCATGATGCCATGGTTGTAAAGTTGCCGCAATACTGTGCAAGCTTTTCTGGGCTCAGTGAAATTTTAGTGTACTCACTCCTGCCGGTCACGCAGGCGAAACGTTAGTAAGCGCACACCCTTTGTCTCAGAAGTGGCGCGGGCATGCAATGCAAGGACGCTGCCTTTCAGCTGGCGAGGTATGCGACCAGCCCGCTGCTCAGAGAGCTGGAAGACGCACGCTTCAGAGTGGGATCCATTCCACGGCAGCCAAGCCTGAAAACAGTCTTTCCAACAGAGAACCAGTTTAGATTTCGGTAGCAACGTACTCTTGCGCGGAATGTCCTGACTCGCAAGCTCCGCCTTGCCATTCTGTTGCTGTCCTGGTCTGCTAACTCCTCTTCTAGACTCCCGACACTTGCGCATCGCTGGACCTGCTAGGAGACTGCAGGCAAGACCTCGAGCTAGAAGCGCTCGACAGATGTGAGTTCTTGATTAGGACACTCTTCAGAATGTGCGCTTTGACAATTCGGCTTCTACGACGACACGATTCATCCTGTGTGGGAGCTGGGGGGGTGGGCCGTGAGCCCTCTGGAGCATCAGCCAAGAGAAAACCCCGAAACCCAGCTAAACCCTTCGCTGCGTACACGAAGCTCCAACTACTGGCCAAGGCCTCTCAGACTCTCAGAGCTTCCGATGTGCTTCCGGGATCCTTTCAGCGCCTCGGCGTTTTTTGCTAGAGATCGGAAGGTAGGTGGGCAGGCACACAGGCTTGTGAGGCTGTTCGTCTGGTGTTCTTAAGGGATCTCGGTGTGACCGGAGACGAGCCCAAAGTTTCTTCACCTGCATGGCGTTGGCAACACAGCCCAGGCAATGATCATTGTCGCACAGCTGCTTGGCAGATTCGGATGTGCAATGCTCTGGAATGCACTGCAGTCACTATACAGGACCTCAGACTTGGCGTCAGACGCTAGCTGCTGCGACGCAAGCGCTTGCGCTGTTTAATGCGCCTGTCAGGTACTTTCTCATCGAGGAGCCAGCAGAAGACTTGTCCACTTTTTTGGGCAGCCTGTCACTGCATTTGGCTTCACACAGCGGGTCGGAGCAATTTAGACCTTGCTGAGCGGTCTCGATGATGAAGGGGCCTTGGTTGTGCCAGAAAGGCGTGATCTCGGGTTCAGCAGGTGCAGGGGTCGCAGATTGAGGTTCAAGGATTTCAAGCCCGGCATCATGCCCTGAGGTGCATCTGCCTCGTTGGCACCCTTTCCCTTCTACACCTCCCAGTTTCTTGGCTGTTGAGTCTGAAGAAGCCAGAAGCAGAAGATGCCAAGAGATGCAAAGCAAGGTACAGCCGCTACTCGAACATGGTTCCGGTGAACCTGTTGGTGTGCATCTTGTCATCTAGTCCTGTGTGAAAGCCGCCGAGTTGGCATCTTCAGTGCTCATCAGTCCCTTCGCCCAGTTGCACACTTCAAAGCTTCACGACATGTGGCGAATGTGCAATGTTCGACACTGTCTGCCCTAACCCTACAACTAAACCTGAGCCCGAAACCAGGCGCCTTACAACCAGTGCCTTCAATGACAGAGACGTAGGGCCGTGGCTTCTTCCAAGGCAATGAGGAGCAGCAGGGGTCTCCAGGCCTCTACAACAGGTCCGGCGGCCGAGAGTTGGCGGTTGTAAGGGCCCTCCGAGGCAGCCTGTTAAAGGACAGGTTTCTAACGCAGACTTCAGTGACTGCGGGGCGTCTGAGAATCAGGGAAAGCCTTGCTGGAAGTGCTGTCCTAGAAGCTCCCCTTGAGAAGCCCCTTTGTTCAACGCCCGACTCCGACACCTAGCTTTTGACTGTTGACTCTTGACTTTGGAGAGAGAAGGTGTGCAAATTCAAGTCGCCTAAGCAAACAGTAGACGTGTTAAAGTGAGATCCGATGCGCTTTGCCAGGTTTGTCCCACGCGTGCATGCGGAGGATTCCGGAATGTGCGGCATGGTCACACGGATCCGATAGGTTTTTGAGATGTGGGGGGCGACTTTCAGTGGATTAGGTGATGTCAAGTGCTTTTTTGTGTGCACGCGCACACATACACATCTACTGGAAGTTCGTGTCAACAGTTCGGGGTTTAGGCCCTTTAGGCTTTGGCATCACTGGTCTAAGTTTTGTGAACTTTCAAGTTGAGGTTGGATAGACAGAAAGGCCCATTGCATTTCAAGGCTGACTCAAGACTTCTTAGCTTACGAGTGGCCTTTTCAAGCTGTTGTTCGGTCCAAGGTTTACACCGACGACCAGCTGGTACGCCGCTGCCGCGCCATGCGCAGGATCAGACCTCAAGACTAGAAGGCTTTTATTCGAGCGTCGATCTAGGGGACGTTTAGTAAGCAATGACCCGCACAACCTGAAGATGTGCCTATACAACTTAGATCCCAAACCCGGATTGCTTTCATGCCAGCTGGGGTGTGGGGCTAGAAGTAGGACAGATTCAGATGAACTCGCAAGCAACCTCGACCAGAAAAGAAACCTGTGCGAGTTAAAGCTAAAAAAACGTGCCCCCGAATAAAGCTCCCGGCCAGTCATCCAGCAAGAGATTGAAGGTGTTTGAAGGTGCCCCGCCATCATATTGACCGCAAGAAGATTACGCACGAAAGTCCTTTCTGTTTGCATCTCGGGGGTAGGAATGTCGGAGTTCCAGATCGGAGCTCCTCACCGATCGCGTCTGGGCGTATCTGAGCATGTCAAGATGCACTTTTTGCAATTGAGGTGCTTCGCAATGTCCGAGAAAGTGTTGCCTCTTTTGCCTCTTTTGTGCCGTGCCCTTGCATCTTGAGAGATGGCAGTGCAGCTCCAAGGACCATATCCAGTGTCCAGCTTCGACTGTGTGACTTGACTCAAGTACGACTTGCAAAGTGTGCCATGCTATCTGCCCCTGGCGTGAGGGGAGCCCAAACTCGGGTGTCATCGAGGTCTGTAGAGGAGGAGCTGGGTCGCAAGATCCAGAAGTACAGCAACCGGGCGAACCAGCTACCTGAAGCAAGCAGCCGGCTTCACTATGGTGAGTAGTGAGTAGTGGGCAGAAGGACCAAGCCGATAAGGGCCACGGTGCAGGCTTGCAGTATAGCAATCTGCGAGTTTGACGTATGATGCAGTTCTGATCATGTCAGGCTGCAATGCCAAGACTCGCGTGGCATGTGGAACGAAGCGATGAGCGACATCCACAAGTGCGTGCTCTCGACGAAATCATGATAGGCCATGTGACTTGAGGGTTTGAAGAGTAACAGGCTACGATAGTAGTCGGGGAATGGTAGAATTCCGAACAGAATTCAATGTGCCCATTTGAAGCAAATTACACCTTCACAGGCCT